TATATGCTGGTTCGGTGAAGTTGGACATGGAATTCATAGTGGTCAGTTCGCCGAGCCCGTACAATGCAATCCTGGGAAGAAATTGGTTGCACGGCATGAGGGCTGTGGCGTCCACGCTTCATCAATGTGTTAGATTCATTGGAGAGTCTGGGAGACAGGAAACCATCAAGGCGAATCAAGTGGCCTCCAAGAAGTGTTTTGTCAACTCTGTCCTTGGAAAGGGCCGAGCAAAGGAGGTACAGAGTATAGAGGTACCAGAGTTGCTAGATGAGACCACCCCCGAAGGGGAAACGAGAGAGGCGTTGCAAGGGCTTGAAGAAGTTGGAAGACCAGCAAGCGACAGGGCCGTGGAAGACTTGGTCCGGATCGCGGTCAATGAAGATGGAACCCGTTCTTTTCTCATAGGCTCGGCTCTAGATGAGGTCGAGAAAACACAAATGGTCGAGTTCCTCAAAGAGAACATGGAAGTCTTTGCTTGGACTCCATATGAAATGCCGGGTGTTAGTCCCGACGTGATAAAACACTCGTTGAACGTTGATCCGGCTAGGAGGCCCGTTGTGCAAAAGCCTCGGCGATCCTCGGCCCTACATGCCGACGCAGTTAATGAAGAGGTAGAACGCCTCGTTGATGCCGGAGCTATTCGAGAGGTCCAGTATCCAACGTGGTTAGCAAATCCAGTGGTAGTCTGGAAGAAGAACGGCAAATGGCGCGTCTGTGTCGACTTTACCGATCTGAACGACGCATGTCCAAAGGACTGTTTTCCTTGCCCATGGATCAATCAATTGGTGGATGCTACCGCTGGGTACGCTCGGCTGAGTTTTATGGACGCATACAGGGGATACCACCAAATTGCTATGGATGAGGAGGATCAGGAGAAGACGGCGTTCATCACTCCCAGTGGCACTTACTGTTACCTGGTGATGCCATTCGGCTTAAAGAACGCCGGGGCTACGTTCCAGCGTATGGTAATGGAGGCATACATTGACGACATGGTCGCCAAAAGTAAGGAAGCAGCCGATCATCTTCTCCACCTCGGCGAAATTTTTGGTGTTCTCAAGAGGTTCGGCTTGAAGCTGAATGCTGAAAAATGTGCATTCGGCGTTGGCTCTGGCAAATTCCTTGGACATTTAGTTACTCGCCAAGGAATTGAAGCCGACCCAAGTCAGATCAAGGCCATACAAGAGATCAAGGCTCCGGCCACGGTGAGGGAGGTTCAGCGCCTCGCAGGCATGGCTGCCCCCCTTAATCGCTTCATCAGCAAGTCTTCGGATATCTGCCGACCTTTCTTTCAATCAATTAAAGGCAACAGCCGAAGAAGCTTTGTATGGACGCCGAACTGCGATGACGCGCTCACCGAACTGAAAAAGTGTCTATCTCAAGCTCCTTTATTGGTTGTGCCCAAAGAAGGGGACGAGCTTCACCTCTACCTTGCAGTCTCCGAGCATGCTGTTAGTGCTGTCCTGGTTCGGCAAGAGACCTCAAAGAGTGTAACGGGCACGGACCAGAAGCCAGTCTACTACATTAGCAAGGCGCTTCTCCCCGCCGAGACCCGCTACCTCCCAATAGAAAAGCTGGCTTTGGCACTGGTAATGGCGAAGAGGAAGCTCCTGCCGTACTTCCAGAGCTTTACCATTGTGGTCGTCACCGAATACCCTTTGAGGGCGGTGTTACGCAAGGCAGATCTTTCTAACAGATTGTGCAAGTGGTCCCTAGAGTTGGCAAACTTTGATATCCGTTACCAGGCCAGAACGGCAATCAAAGGTCAAGTGTTGGCTGATTTTGTCGCCGAGTTCTCCCCTGGGGTGGAAGACGGCAGAGGCAGTGAAGAGGGCCTGGCCAGAGAGTCCACCGGGCCGGCCCCTGGACCTCGGTCGAGCCATCCAGCTCACGAAGAATATATCACGAAGCGGCCCATCCCTTCACGCCGAGCGAGCTTGTTCACCGGGCACGCTTGGAGACTTCATGTAGACGGAGCGTCTAATAACCGAGGGGCTGGAGCCGGGATTGTTCTGGTGTCACCGAGCGGGACCTTGCACGAGCATTCATTGAGCATTGGGTTTCCAGCAACCAATAACGAGGCGAAGTATGAGGCCCTCATTGCCGGGCTCAAGTTAGCTCGGCATATGGGTGCTGAAGAGGTTCAGGTTTACAGCGATTCATAGCTCGTTGTTAATCAGCTCAATGATGATTACGAGGCTAAGGATGCACGCATGAACAAATACGTAAGCCAAGTGGTTGCCCTAGCTGGTTCATTCAAAAATGTATTTTTTGACCATGTTGGGCGTGATCTCAATTCTCATGCCGATGCTCTTGCCGGACTGGGAGCCGTATGTGCCGATCAGGGAGGTGAGAGAACGATAGTCCTCGGCGAAGTCCCATCACCGAGCTTCGAGCCGGAGCCACAAGAAGTGATGGACATCCATCAGGCACCCAGCTGGATGGACCCCCTCGTCTCCTATTTGAAGCATGCCGTGCTTCCAGCCGACCGCAAGGAAGCCCATAAAATCCGTTGTCAATCTGCTTCCTATTTCCTCGATCCCTCCGGCACACTATACCGCCGATCATACACTGGTCCCGACCTCCGCGTGGTGCACGAGCAGGAGGTGCCCGGCATTCTCGAAGAATTGCATGGTGGAAGTGCTGGTTGTCACACCGGCGGCCGGTCCTTAGCTGACCGTGCCCTTTCCCAGGGTTATTGGTGGAAAAGAATGGTACATACGGCTACAGAGTTTGCCAAGCAATGCAAGTCTTGTCAAAATCATTCTCCTCTTCTCAACCAGCCGACCCTACCGTTGCAACCAGTTTCTAGTCCTTGGCCCTTTGCTCAATGGGGGGTGGACATTATTGACAAGCTGCCGAAGGCTACTGGCGGCTTTACCCACATCATTACTGCTACAGACTATTATACCAAGTGGGTGGAAGCCAAAGCACTCATAACGATCACGGCCGCCGATGTGGAGAGTTTCCTTTGGAACCATATTTTTACAAGGTTCGGCGTGCCGTACGCCATTGTGTCAGACAACGGTACCCAGTTTGTTGCCGACGCAATTAAGGCTTTATACAAGAGGCGCGGCATACAGATGAAGACAGCTTCCGTCTCCTATCCTCAGGGAAACGGACAGGCCGAAGCTGCCAACAAGGCTATCTCTGCCGGACTGAAACGCCGACTCAAAAACAAGCACGGCAAGTGGGCGGAAGAGTTGCCTAATGTTCTATGGGGCTACCGAACCACTCCACGGCGCGGCACTGGTCGTACCCCTTACTCCATGGCGTTCGGCGTCGAGGCCGTACTCCCTGTGGCTGTTACTCGACCCACGTCTCGCACTGCAACGTTTGATGTCCCAACAAACGATGCAATGCTAGCCGCCGAAGCAGATCGAGCTGATGAGCTTCTAGACAATGCCCACATAAAGTACGCAGCTTATCAGCAGCAGTTGGCTCGGAGCTATAACAAGAATGTGCGGAGCCGCCCCTTCAGTGTGGATGATCTTGTCCTTCGGCAGATAGTCCAGAAGAAACATTTGAAGAAATTCATGCCGAAGTGGGAAGGTCCATTCCGGGTGGTTAAGAAGGTTGGCTATGGCTCCTATGAACTCGCCGAGATGGATGGTACGGCAATACCGAACCACTGGAACGCACAGCTGCTTCGGAAATTTTACGCTTAATTTTCTTTTGGCTTTTCGCCTCGGCTATGTGTTAAGCCTTCAGTTTTTTACAAAAGATTTGTTTTAATAAAGACTTTGTTTGTTTCTATTTTTAAATGTGTTTTGTTAGCCTCGGTCGTATTCTTTTGCTCGGTTTGCCGAGGCACGCCTTTTCAGATTCTGTTCGGCAATGACTTTGCATGCCATATCCTGAAGGGGGCATTCCCAGCTTCAGCCGTTCCTTTTGATCCGGCGGAACCAACCTCGGTGGTGTGTTTCCTCCGGATCAGGGGCTGGGTACGGCGAGCTGGGACGGATAATTATTAGAGAGATTATTGTTAAACTATGTGCATGAAGTGCAATACATAGTCTTAACATGCATGAAGTGCAAAAAGTATGAAACATAGACAGAAAACTTGAAACTTTCATCATAACAACGATTGGTCCATTACAAATCAAAAACAGGGGCTCGGCTGAACAAGATACTTTTGCCGACCCTCGACTCTACGACATACAAAAGGAAGTTCTACACTACGGTGGGGGCGTCAATTGGCTTCGGCGGCTCCACAGTAGTGATAGGCTGCTCGGTGGGGGTGACGGGCTTGGCCGTGGAGGAATCTGGGTTCTCATCAACAGTTGGGTTGGGCTGCTCGACGCGGCTCGGTGACACGTCGGCGGATGGGTTAGCCTGTTCCGCTGGAAGCAGGTGCCTCGGCAGCTCCACAGGAGGCACCACTGGATTCTCCCTTCGGTGGTCATCCTTGGAGACCTCGGCGTAGTCAAGGCCGACCTGGAACCCGCGGAGGAAAGATGAGGCGTGCGCATCTTCAAATCCTTTCCGCTCTCCTTCCCTGAAAGCCTTGGTGACAAGGGCTTCCACCTGCTCCTTGTAGTAATCGCCGGCCTCGTTGAAACCCTCATCACTGGCCTCCTCCAGCTTGGCCGGCAGCTCATCCTCCATCTGCTGCACCCTCTCCTTCAGTTGGTCCCGCTAGGCGGTCCCTCTCTTCCAAGCCAGTCTTGGCCTCGGCAACTTGAGCCTCCAACGCCTCGATCTGGTCGTTGGCCTCCTTCACCTCCTTCCTCATGGCCTGGAGGTCCCCCCTTTGGGTCTTCTTAGTGGCAAGGAGGACCTCCATGTCATTGAAGGCTTTGTTGGCGCGCTGCCCGGCCTGCGAAAAGAGAAGAAAGAGTTAGCATCAGAAAAGGGCAGTAAGATTGAAAGAACATTCAACTTTCAAAGGGTTAGGTTGGGAATCCATACCTTGGCAAGGAAAAGGCACAGTTCGGCCATGTTGTCGGCCTTGCCTGATTGCAGCTTCTCCATGTCCTTTGGGAGGGCCAGGCCCTTTAGAAGGGTCATGTCCAGATGGTAAGTATTCCCGCCTGTCACGCGGGTGACCCGGGTTCGATCCCCGGCAACGGCGCCAAAAATGCTTGAACTATCGGGTGTTAATAAATTTAGGCTAAAAACGCGTCCCAAGCGTAGGACTCTCGACCAGTGTAGCACAATAAATCCGGAAGTACCGGAGTCGAACCACAGAGACGGACGGACGGTGCTTAACTTAAATGTGATGAATTCTAGTTTAATCTGGCTCTTAGGTAGCCACTCCTTGTTCAATTGATTGATTGATTGACTAAATTACTAAATTGAATTAATAAACTATGAATTTAAAGGAGAGTACAGCCGTGGGAACCCAGCGTCTGCAACTAGCCTAACCAATATTTACTCGGGACACAATTATTCAATTCACTGATTTCAGAATAAGGGAAGAGGGGGTTCCCAATAAATGCCTACCACCTGTCACCAGCCCTCATGCGCATTTGAAATCTGATGATGCCTGGGTTTTGTTTACTAGAAAATGATTCTCTTTCGTATCCCAAAATTGCTGGAAAAATAAATTAATTCGTACCCGAGATGAAATATTGATTAAATTAATCACAGGACGCCTTTGTCCCGTGGCTGCACCCTAAGGAACTACTCACACATGCTTGAAGTAACAGGAAATAAAAACCTAGATCGAAACATGATCATCTATTTTTAATAGAAATGGAAAATAAAAGAAAGATCTACGAAGAATAACTAATAACGAACAACTTTAATTAATGAAGTAAATACCAAACGTTACCAGAATCCAAGCGATTGAAAGAAATAGTGCCGAAAACTCAAGAACTGAGAGAAAACAAAACAACGTTAGAGAAAAAGCTGCTACGTAAAGTCTGGTATAAAAAATCTACCCTAAAACTAAGTTAAAACGGGGTATTTATATTAATCCCCTTAAAAACAATTAAAATCCTAATAATAATCGGAATTCGAACCGACCCAACCCAAAACGCCGTCGTTCCTGGCCTTCCATAAGCGCTCGGTAGCGCTACACCAAAATAGGTGTAGCGCTCGCGAATCCATTAAGGGCGTGTTTCGTTGACCGCTGACGTTTGGCCGTTGACCTCTCAAAACCCATTGTAGCGCTATACCAAAATGCCTATAGCGCTCGCCAACTCTCTGATCTCTTCGTGCAACAAATTATGCCATTTTGAGCGCTATACCACTTCCTTTGTAGCGCTCACGAAATCTTTACTTCAACACTTAGTCTCCTCAACCCTTTTTGCTCTCAAACTCCACCTCGGCTTTCCAGGACACCTCCTATTAGCGTCAAAACATCCCAATTTCCTGCAATTTCAGCACAAACACAAAAACCAACCACGTGCACGTATTAAACGGAAAATGAGAATTAAAGGCACGTCTAACGCGCTAATTTCCCCTACTTAGGCGCTAAAATCCTATGCATTTCACGCGCCTATCACATCCCCCAACTTGAGCGTTGCTAGTCCCTAGCAACCAACGAAATAAAAATAACAAACCAAGACTCAACAGGGGATACGAGAGTTATGCAACCTGTATAAAAATTAAGTGAACATAAAATTTCCTCCTCATTGCCACCTTTAACTCAGTCACATGCATGCCCTAGCTATTATTTGAACCATTTCGCACCAAAACATACTAGAGATGAAACGTCCCCACAAAGTTACAATGTTACTCTTGCTCACCGGAACACTCAACATCCCATGCGAGGCGCTTGGCGACCAACGTGAGATGGAACAACAATCACCACGTGCCAATCAAAACAACGCCAGTATAACAATGAAAGCTCAACGGAATAAAGATACCACATGTTCATAACTAAATATAAAACGTGCATGCAAGAGAGTTAACAACGTGCATTGGGTCAACTAAGGGCTTCATTGGCTTTAAACGACCGTGGTTACGAAAAAAAAACAAGGAACATGCAAAGGGTAGCGGCCTATAGAAACGCATGGTTAGTCTACCCTGACTGGCCGCCACCTTGACTCCTGCACCACACCGGTGCTCAACACAAAACATTAGTCACAAACATAACAAAGTACGAATTATTACACAATATCTGAATGACAAGACTCAATCCACCGACTCACAAAACACATGAAATAACACAAAAACTGACATGACTCGACAATGGAACATAAAATAACACCACCACCATCCCAGCTCTATGCTCAGTTACCATCTCCAGCATCCGAATGCTGCTCCTCCTCAGGCTCATCCCCAAAATCATCGCTCACCTCTAATGCCGGCCACCTCCTAGGTCGGAAAGGCCCTGGATTTTCCCCAGACATCTGTGCCTCCATGTGGCGCTGCCTATCAAGTAAGTCCGCCTGATTCCGAGCCAACTGCCTTTGCTCTCTCTTTAACTTGCGCTGGCTCCTAGCAAGGCCCGTCAAACAACCAAAAATCTTTTCCAGCCAAGTCTTAGTACTAGCACTAGCCGGTGGCGGAGTCAGTAACGATCCCTCTACTCCTCTTAACTGGGCCATACTCCGGTGAATAAACGAGGAATCCAAATCCCCCGGCAGTAGATCATCATTACTATAGAATCGCTTTCCCGGAACATTTCTAGTCCTCAAAATTTTGGTAACTAAGCACGGGAAAGGCATTCTCAAAGTATTCGGAGCATCTCTAAAATCACACATTTGCCCAAAAATATATAGGGCCCAATCAGAGACCGTGTCCTCACCCATGAATGCATACATCAAGTTTCCAACCGACCTCTGGGGTGCGCCCTCCCGACCCCGAGGATACAAATTAAAGCAAATCACTTGGTTGATAAACCTATACGCAGTCGTGAATCTACCAGGCCAATGAGGAATCCTAGCATTCCTCCGGTGCTCATACAGATATCCAGCTATCTCATTCTGATCAAAAGTTTCATCCGGCCTAGGGAAATTAACAGGTCCCGTGGGCCTCTGATAATCTAAAGCAGTGGCTATCTCAGCCACATCAACAAAAACTGGAGTATTACCTATTCGTGAAGTAATCCGGGCACCCGGAGCCAAGAAGTGACCCGGCTCCGGCACAACCATATTCCTATAAAACTCCTCACATAAAGCATTGTTATACCCAGGATTAGGAGCGAACCAATACCTTAGACCTTGGTCCCGAATGGCGGCAAAATGTTCAAAGTTTGCCGGCCATAACCCATCATCAACAATGTGTCTCTCGTTCTTAACGCCCCGCTCCTTTATAGACGCCTCCCAGCCCTCCTGGTTATCCCTCTCTATCTGCTCCCGGTCCCTACGCTTAGCCCGGGTCTTTGGAACTTCCTCCGGTGGACCAGAGGTTCCAGCCACTGCCTTTCCCTTGCCAACATTCTGCTTTTTGGGTGCCATACTTAGTGGGTTTTGGGCTGAAAAAATGGGTTTGAGATTTTCGGATCTGAAAATTTTATGGGGTTAGAATGGAATTTGGGTTGGATATTATGGTAGAGGAGGGTGAGAGGAGTGTTTTTGTGAATTTTGGTGAAGATTGGTGGAGTTTTGAGGGAGTTATGGAGTTTTAAGGTTTAGGGTTTGAGTTGGTTATGGAGGATGGGGAGTCTGGTTTGGAAAGAAGAAAAGGAGGAAGATGATGGTGATGGAAGAGAGAGAGAGGAGAGATTCGTGGGTTATGAGGCGTGGGGAAGAAAAGAATCTGAAAAGGTAATGGAGTGGACCCCCACCCTTTGACCGTTCTGCCGTTTCATTTTTTTTTATTATTATTCGACCCTAGCGCTACACCACTTTTGGTGTAGCGCTCCCGAACAGCTAACCCGTTTTTTTTTTTTTTTTTTTTTTTTATAATAACTAATAACTAATGGGTCAAAGGGGTCAGTTGACTCTTCCTTTTATTCTCTCTCTCGGAATGGAATTGTTTGCTGGGAATTTGGTTTAGGAGTTTGGGCTTTGGCTGGGACAAAAGATTAAGGTTTTGTTTTTACCCAGACACAGCACCCAAAAGCAAAATATTGATTCTCCCAAAATGACGATGCTCCTTAATCTCAACAATTTGAGGCCTTCTAAAAATGTTCACAGAGCTGGACAACCAACACTCACCCCATCCAAACACCGGTTTCCTAAGTGTGACACAGAAATTGACACGGACTGGTCTAAAATGGATCAACGGGACACATTTAGTGGTTTAATCATACAAGAACTGCCTTGTTTCATCCCCTAAGCACGTTTCCAACTCTCAATCATGCATGCAAAATATTTAGACTACGACAAGTGGTACAAACGCCTACTATTTTATGCAATTGCGGAAATTGATGAACAAAGAATCATGGGAATATTTTTAGGGACACACTGTGAACTAAGTGGGAACACCTACTCAACATTGCTTATGGTGCGACAGTATTCAAACAGAGATGCCAGATATATGCATGTAAACGAGTTAAGCAGGCAAACAACGAGACAAACATCTAGCATACTCACCTAACTCATACAAATAAGCATAACAATCGTATCCCCAGACAAAAATAAAAAAAATAAAAATAAAAATGAAACCCTAAACCAACTAACAACGCTCAATAAAAATAAAAATAAAAGCAAGTGTACAAAGTACACCCCTTCCCCCAACTTGAAATGCGCTTGGTCCCCAAAGCATGGAGACACTGAACGGAAAAGAGCAAAAAGAAGGAAAGTGTGAACCTGGGGTGGCAGCCAACCACCGTGACCTCGGCCGATGTTTGAGGAATTTACTGTCACTGTTGCGTTTCATCATCGGAACTGCTTTCAGAATTCGCTCCTTCGGACCTCACAAGGTCCACAGCTAGTCACATAGAGCCGCGCCAATGCTTTATCGGACTGACAACCGCCACACATAGTGGCACCCCTGCTCGAGGCTCCTGAATGCCTCACTCACACCGGCGGAGAGGCCCAAACTACCAAGGCTGATGTGGTAGCATGCTCATCCTGCAAAAGTCTTAAGAACCAACTACCTACTAGGCAACATATGACATTAGTACCGCCCGCTAATATAAGCCGGGCCACTACAAGAAATAATAACAAAAATAAAAGAACACCACCAGACATTCACGCAGTCGCACGAGTCATACTTTTCTTCCCGAGTCTCACCGAA